CAATAATGAATTATCGACGATAAGAGAAGCAGTTAATAACGATAGTAATATATCATATAATCAGATAATGTTACTTGAATATGTGATAAGTATCTATCACAGTTTTTACGTCAAAAATGAGGTACGACAAAATGACTAACATACCAGGAAATTACTCGAGAAGCCATCAAAATATCGTCGATGTGAAAGAGATAAATTTTTCGTGCTTTTTTAAGTACAAAAAAAAACATTCTTATCCTTTGTCGCTATTTGAGAAATAACTTGCATCTCTACCAGTGAAGTAGAGACTCATCGTAATATTTAATTAGTAAAAATAATATAAATCACGAAATTTTTAAATTAATTTTTCATATTACTCGTAATACAGTAGCTCTTTGTTATATCGCGCATGCCGGAAAACACATCAAATGAATATCAGATAGTGCGATATAACTAAAAACTATACATTTACATTTTCTGGTGAATACGCAAAATACAGCAATTTTTCGTAAACACCTTTTGAATAATTTACAATATTTGTTTAATTTGATAAATTTACTTTGAATAATTACAAGAATAATCTAAGTAATGCAATAACTTTAAAATCGGCACAGATTATTTTCAATGACTGCGCTATTTGTTAAACAATATAATATATTTTTGTCGTTACGAGGTTTCACAAACAATACAATTTGCGTTATTTTAATATGTTCATGTAATTTACAGTCACATTCGCATTCTATACCACAAAATACATTATAAACGATGTTGTAATGCATACCATAAAACTATAACTTTAACATTATAGCTTCATGGGGTCCACACAAATTTGAATTAAGTGGCCCCGTGTACAGTGTTGACTCGACATATTTTTCTTCGGGGAATGTTTTTGGAGAAAATCTTTTTTTTATAACAGATTGGTTCTTGTCTCTTGGGGCTCTTGTCAGTGTTTTCTTTTTTCTTGTTCGTAGTATAAGACGCCATCTAAAAAATCTTTGTAAATACAAATATTTTGGCTACAGTTTGAAAAAACTGTAGACCTATAAATTTCCATTGTCGTCTGTTTGTTAGTCTGTCCGTTTGTCTTTTCTTAAACTCGAAAACGGAGTTAGATAAATGAAAGACGAGATTAGATGTGAAAACCTTATAGGCCGGATCCTTTGACTATATGAGAACATCCGATTCAAACCGGAAGTCAAGTTACTCCAACTTAACTTTTTTCCGTGAAAGCAGTTGAAAAAATTGAAGTGCTTTGTTGACTTCACTCCGTCGACACCAATTGTGTGATCGACGCCTTGTTAGGATATAGATTCACACTCCAGACACCTAATGTGAAAAACAGCTTTATGTTCAGGATGGTTTAATTATAGTAGACAAGAAAGATCAGCCAAATCTCTCTGTCCGATACGTCACGGTGACATCAGTTATGATAGTTGTTATTTGTCCCAACTCGTGATTTGTAGTTAAACTTAAATATAGGAGGGTTATACTTCTACCTTACACGCGGGATCGACAATATACGCAGGAACAACGATGGAGTTAGGCACCTAGACGAGTTAGAATATAAAAAACTATTTATTCAATTAAACGAATCAATTGAATGTACATGAAATGATAACTAAAACGAATTAGTCAAAGGAGTAACTGTACAAAAATATAAATGGAGAGGTCACATACTAACTTCTAAATATATCACTTTTGAATAGACTTCCACCTGAGAGAGTGTACATCAAATATAATAATTTGTTGCATGTTTACAATACCTGTTTGTTACACTAGTTCTATAAAATTTTAGAAAATCTGCTAATATGTTTTATAAGATTATAAATTTTGAAAATTTAAAGTAAAAGAAATATACAGGTACAGTACCTCATATTTAAAAGTCAGATTTATGTTAATAAAATTCACAAACAAATAAACTATATGACTTATAAAATTTTCTTATAGAAAAAATAAACAATATTGAATTGATGTAAATATTTTATTCGTGCAATAATCGTTTAACGAACGTTCTGTCTGATTCTAACTTGTGCATAAATCTTGCAAAAAAACGAATACTAAAGTTCTCAAAAAGTACTCTAAATATATTAATCGCCGTATATTCTTTGAAATATTTTAGAATATTTTAAAACAAATATCGCTTTTATTTTATAATATTTCCTTTTCATTAAAGTTGAATTCTTACGATGTATACTGTACACGTGGATGTATTTTTAATCATTTAGGAAATGAAATTAATCTACTTCCTACGATTAAAACTTTCTACTAATGTTTAAAGTGATTTCCGCATATTCAAAATTTTTATCTCATAAGATATGTTGTCAATTAGGATATTTAATTCTATTGATAAATTGGTAATATATATAACCTTCCATCATAACTGAAATTCATTAGATTTTAATAAATAAATATTGGTAAAAATAAAGATTAATTCAAAAGTTAGTTAACCCAAATATATTTTAAAAACGGTTTAAACCGGCGTAGAATCGTCGATCATACTGACAAAACCTTTAAATATATCTCGGTAAACGGACTTTTTGACTGCTTTATATAAATTTATTACAGTATTTCTATTTTAATTTTAACTAAATCTTTCTATAATTGTTGAAAAAATATAAAACAATGGGATCGGTAAGAATACTAAAAATATATTTCTAAAAATAAAAATTATTCTCAGACAAAATAGACGAGTAAATTAAAACACTCTTTCCTAGACCGACTTCCAGTGATTAAATAAGCGGACAATCTTTCTATTTAAGATTAAAGATATAGATCTACTAACATGTAATAAAGCAATTGAATAAGCAATTATATTTAAATTAAATTAATTTACATCACAAATCAATATTTTTAAAAATAAAACTCACAAAATGTTTAATTTTATTAATTTTTCAACACTATTACAAAATAAATGTCATAAAAATAAGTAAATGATTGTGTTTAATCTTATTAGACAAGGTATAATAGGTTGTTCGAAAGTCGAGTTATATTTTAAGATATTTTTTTAAGAACGATAAAATCCGTTTTGAAACATCTGCATGTTATTAAATAATTCTTAAAACTAATCTTAAAAAATATATCGGTTAACAGACTTTTGAGCAATCCTATGTAATTGATAAAAAAAAAAATTAGAATTATATTTGATCAGAGTATTTAAAAATGACGATTTAAATTTTCAAAAAATAAAATAAAATTGTTTTATTTATAATATAATAAATATACGAACTACATCTGAACCAAATATATAAAGCAAACAATATTCCATATTATTTTCGATTTATTTGAAAATTTAATAGTTTGTTTAATAATAATTGTTACATAGTTTCGACTTAAATATTTTTATGCATTTTTTTAATTTCGTATAATTTAAAAAAAAAATATTCTTATAAAAATAAAAATTAATAAATCATTCGTTGAATATTTACTGACTTGATTGTAAAAGCTTTTATATAACTTGTTTTCTCCACCTGGAAACTCAGTAAACATAATTATTTTTAGTATTTAATCATGAGTATGTGTGTAAATGCATTGTTATGACGTATGTGGCGGCCTTTGGCTATACTAACCATCCCTCATCCTAATCTCGAATAAACTAATTATTAGAAATAATTTTAACTTTTCAAAATGAAATCTACTCTTGTTTCAAAACTTAAAGTAATTTTTAATTTTTTGATTTTAGTAAATTTTAACAATTTCCCTTCTTTTAAGGGTTAAAAACAAAAAGGAAACAGTTTTTATAACGTTTCCTTTATTGTAAAATAGATAAGTTAATTGCTTTTCCTGTGATTAATTGCTAAAGAAAATATAAATAACCGAGAATTACGTATCAAATTATTTTAAAAGTAAATTCTTTCTTTGCAAGAAGTGCAAAATGAAGTTGTGCATTTTACTTGTTTTAGGAGTGATTGTATGCAATTTATGTGCCATCAATGGCTTTAGAATGAAAAGACAGATAGATGACTTTTGCGGTGAGTGTGAGAAATTTCGTATTTAATTCTTAAATGTTAACAATAAAGTATCTTAATTTTAGACAGATTTTAAAAAATTTCATAGTTTTAGATATATAAAAGTATATTACAATCGCACTTCTATTTAATTTATACTGTTTTTCAGGTTTGCCTGTAAAACTTCGAAGTACTATATGGAATTGTATCGAGTCGCAACTTTCCTTTAAGGATAGGCAAACGGTTAGTTATTTTAATATAATTAAATAAAATATTTTTAAGATGTATAAATATTAATATTCAAATATGATTTGTCAGTATTCAGGTATTGCCCTGTGTTTTAATGAAGCTAACTTTGTTGACGTCATGAATAGAATGTGTGGCAAAACAGAAGATGAGGTAATATATTTTCATTGGTTTTAGTATAATTAAAAACATAAATGAATATATTTACATAACAATTACTGAAATATAATTTATGTAATTTCTATTTCGTAGATTGATGCAATGGCAGCACTGCATGAAGATTGTTTGGAAGAGCTGGACATGGATGATGAATCAAATGAAATCGTAAGTTAAAAATAAAAAATAAACACAAATTTTCTTTTTATTTCTACTTAATTATTTGCAATTTTTATACTTTTAGGATGCGGACGAAGAAGAGGTAGCGAATTGTGTTATAAATAATATGTGAATAAAAAACATTGACATGCACGATTCGCCGCTGTATAGTTTATCCAATGTTGAGCCATCTATTAATTTTCATTAAATGTGCATAATTAATCCTTGTAAACTTTAATAATTTGTTTTTAAATTTAATAATATTTGCTTGTAATAAATTAGAAAATTTTAAATAAACAGTTTTGCATTACGAATTAGACTTTTTCATTTCGATGTGAAAAATAATTTTAAATAAAAAATATCGTAAATTCTCACATATAAAACTGTGAAAAAATTATTTAGAATATATATATATATATATTCTAAATAATTTTTTCACAGTTTTATATGTGAGAATTTACGATATTTTTTATTTAAAATTATTTTTCACATCGAAATGAAAAAGTCTAATTCGTAATGCAAAACTGTTTATTTAAAATTTTCTAATTTATTACAAGCAAATATTATTAAATTTAAAAACAAATTATTAAAGTTTACAAGGATTAATTATGCACATTTAATGAAAATTAATAGATGGCTCAACATTGGATAAACTATACAGCGGCGAATCGTGCATGTCAATGTTTTTTATTCACATATTATTCATAACACAATTCGCTACCTCTTCTTCGTCCGCATCCTAAAAGTATAAAAATTGCAAATAATTAAGTAGAAATAAAAAGAAAATTTGTGTTTATTTTTTATTTTTAACTTACGATTTCATTTGATTCATCATCCATGTCCAGCTCTTCCAAACAATCTTCATGCAGTGCTGCCATTGCATCAATCTACGAAATAGAAATTACATAAATTATATTTCAGTAATTGTTATGTAAATATATTCATTTATGTTTTTAATTATACTAAAACCAATGAAAATATATTACCTCATCTTCTGTTTTGCCACACATTCTATTCATGACGTCAACAAAGTTAGCTTCATTAAAACACAGGGCAATACCTGAATACTGACAAATCATATTTGAATATTAATATTTATACATCTTAAAAATATTTTATTTAATTATATTAAAATAACTAACCGTTTGCCTATCCTTAAAGGAAAGTTGCGACTCGATACAATTCCATATAGTACTTCGAAGTTTTACAGGCAAACCTGAAAAACAGTATAAATTAAATAGAAGTGCGATTGTAATATACTTTTATATATCTAAAACTATGAAATTTTTTAAAATCTGTCTAAAATTAAGATACTTTATTGTTAACATTTAAGAATTAAATACGAAATTTCTCACACTCACCGCAAAAGTCATCTATCTGTCTTTTCATTCTAAAGCCATTGATGGCACATAAATTGCATACAATCACTCCTAAAACAAGTAAAATGCACAACTTCATTTTGCACTTCTTGCAAAGAAAGAATTTACTTTTAAAATAATTTGATACGTAATTCTCGGTTATTTATATTTTCTTTAGCAATTAATCACAGGAAAAGCAATTAACTTATCTATTTTACAATAAAGGAAACGTTATAAAAACTGTTTCCTTTTTGTTTTTAACCCTTAAAAGAAGGGAAATTGTTAAAATTTACTAAAATCAAAAAATTAAAAATTACTTTAAGTTTTGAAACAAGAGTAGATTTCATTTTGAAAAGTTAAAATTATTTCTAATAATTAGTTTATTCGAGATTAGGATGAGGGATGGTTAGTATAGCCAAAGGCCGCCACATACGTCATAACAATGCATTTACACACATACTCATGATTAAATACTAAAAATAATTATGTTTACTGAGTTTCCAGGTGGAGAAAACAAGTTATATAAAAGCTTTTACAATCAAGTCAGTAAATATTCAACGAATGATTTATTAATTTTTATTTTTATAAGAATATTTTTTTTTTAAATTATACGAAATTAAAAAAATGCATAAAAATATTTAAGTCGAAACTATGTAACAATTATTATTAAACAAACTATTAAATTTTCAAATAAATCGAAAATAATATTGAATATTGTTTGCTTTATATATTTGGTTCAGATGTAGTTCGTATATTTATTATATTATAAATAAAACAATTTTATTTTATTTTTTGAAAATTTAAATCGTCATTTTTAAATACTCTGATCAAATATAATTCTAATTTTTTTTTTATCAATTACATAGGATTGCTCAAAAGTCTGTTAACCGATATATTTTTTAAGATTAGTTTTAAGAATTATTTAATAACATGCAGATGTTTCAAAACGGATTTTATCGTTCTTAAAAAAATATCTTAAAATATAACTCGACTTTCGAACAACCTATTATACCTTGTCTAATAAGATTAAACACAATCATTTACTTATTTTTATGACATTTATTTTGTAATAGTGTTGAAAAATTAATAAAATTAAACATTTTGTGAGTTTTATTTTTAAAAATATTGATTTGTGATGTAAATTAATTTAATTTAAATATAATTGCTTATTCAATTGCTTTATTACATGTTAGTAGATCTATATCTTTAATCTTAAATAGAAAGATTGTCCGCTTATTTAATCACTGGAAGTCGGTCTAGGAAAGAGTGTTTTAATTTACTCGTCTATTTTGTCTGAGAATAATTTTTATTTTTAGAAATATATTTTTAGTATTCTTACCGATCCCATTGTTTTATATTTTTTCAACAATTATAGAAAGATTTAGTTAAAATTAAAATAGAAATACTGTAATAAATTTATATAAAGCAGTCAAAAAGTCCGTTTACCGAGATATATTTAAAGGTTTTGTCAGTATGATCGACGATTCTACGCCGGTTTAAACCGTTTTTAAAATATATTTGGGTTAACTAACTTTTGAATTAATCTTTATTTTTACCAATATTTATTTATTAAAATCTAATGAATTTCAGTTATGATGGAAGGTTATATATATTACCAATTTATCAATAGAATTAAATATCCTAATTGACAACATATCTTATGAGATAAAAATTTTGAATATGCGGAAATCACTTTAAACATTAGTAGAAAGTTTTAATCGTAGGAAGTAGATTAATTTCATTTCCTAAATGATTAAAAATACATCCACGTGTACAGTATACATCGTAAGAATTCAACTTTAATGAAAAGGAAATATTATAAAATAAAAGCGATATTTGTTTTAAAATATTCTAAAATATTTCAAAGAATATACGGCGATTAATATATTTAGAGTACTTTTTGAGAANCTTGATAATTCAACTACGCTTGTTGGAGAACAATAAAAACACTACACTCAACAAGCCACCAATAAAACTCAACTGCCTAACCTATAACCAAAGTCTCCTTTTAATTTGTTTTTTAAAAAAAGCGCTTGACAAACTTGCCCCGCATGCCGAAGTTGCCCCGGTCTCCCCTAATTTTAAAACTATTAAAAATTAGAAAAAGATAAAATAATTACAAGAAAAGAAAATGTAGAAATCATTAAAAGAAGAACGAAAAGAATAGAAAAATTGAACTTTAGATTAGACATATAAGTTAGAAAAAATAAAGAACTTTAAGTAATAGTAAATACATAATAATTTACAGTTCATAAAAATTTATTTAAAAAAGGTGAACACTAAAATAATTCAAATAATAATATGTATAAAAATACGCATTATTAACACGCATTAAAAACGTTAAAATAAAAAATAGTTATATGCTAATAAATACTGTTGTAAAATGTATGTGTATATATATGTATATATATAAATATATATATATATATACATATTGATATATTACATATATATATATATATACATATTAAATTAAATATACAGAGATACAGTTCCTTATTTCATTCAAAAAGGTGTTCGAGTGCCAATTTGTTTGAATACTGAACGAACTTTTCCCATAAGAAATAATGTAAATGATTCGTTCTAGACCACCAAAAACTGCATTTTAAGTTGTATTTAACACAAATTTAACGAAACCTTACAAGCCTAGCGCGCATAAATCACACACACAAAAAAAAACCTTAACATACTAAATATATAAAGTAAATACAAGTTTAATCTCACATTACTGTCATTTTGGAGAGTTGATGACTTATTTCGTCACATTTTTTATACAGAGTGGTAAAGTTGATTTTATTCATTTTAATTATAGAAAATTTTTGTGCATGACAAAATTAAAGGTAAAATAAAAATATTTGCCATTAATAAAATATTAGTTTTATGAGGTCGTGTTCGTTCGGTCGTTTTGCTCTAAACATCCGTTCGAATACCGAATTGTTCGAGTTGGGAGAAAAACATTAGAACTAAAATCTTAAATTGATGAACAAATACGATAAAATTTGTTTAAAATAAATTTTTACTTGAGTTAATAATAGTTTATATGTACAAAATAATTGTAGTTTTATGGATTCTGTTATAGGTTCACAATTGGAAGAACTACAATTGAATAAAATTGTTAAATAATAAATAACATAAAATGAATAGTTTTGTATAAAAAATACGTTGGTTTTCNTAGAAAAGAGATAAGGTCTTTAAGAATTCGATCATTAACAAACCCTTCGTTGAAATTCGATTCTTATACGAAAAATAAAAATTAATAAATCTTTCGTTGAATATTTACTGACTTGTTTGTAAAAGCTTTTATATAACTTGTTTTCTCCACCTGGAAACTCAGTAAACATAATTATTTTTAGTATTTAATCATGAGTATGTGTGTAAATGCATTGTTATGACGTATGTGGCGGCCTTTGGCTATACTAACCATCCCTCATCCTAATCTCGAATAAACTAATTATTAGAAATAATTTTAACTTTTCAAAATGAAATCTACTCTTGTTTCAAAACTTAAAGTAATTTTTAAATTTTTGATTTTAGTAAATTTTAACAATTTCCCTTCTTTTAAGGGTTAAAAACAAAAAGGAAACAGTTTTTATAACGTTTCCTTTATTGTAAAATAGATAAGTTAATTGCTTTTCCTGTGATTAATTGCTAAAGAAAATATAAATAACCGAGAATTACGTATCAAATTATTTTAAAAGTAAATTCTTTCTTTGCAAGAAGTGCAAAATGAAGTTGTGCATTTTACTTGTTTTAGGAGTGATTGTATGCAATTTATGTGCCATCAATGGCTTTAGAATGAAAAGACAGATAGATGACTTTTGCGGTGAGTGTGAGAAATTTCGTATTTAATTCTTAAATGTTAACAATAAAGTATCTTAATTTTAGACAGATTTTAAAAAATTTCATAGTTTTAGATATATAAAAGTATATTACAATCGCACTTCTATTTAATTTATACTGTTTTTCAGGTTTGCCTGTAAAACTTCGAAGTACTATATGGAATTGTATCGAGTCGCAACTTTCCTTTAAGGATAGGCAAACGGTTAGTTATTTTAATATAATTAAATAAAATATTTTTAAGATGTATAAATATTAATATTCAAATATGATTTGTCAGTATTCAGGTATTGCCCTGTGTTTTAATGAAGCTAACTTTGTTGACGTCATGAATAGAATGTGTGGCAAAACAGAAGATGAGGTAATATATTTTCATTGGTTTTAGTATAATTAAAAACATAAATGAATATATTTACATAACAATTACTGAAATATAATTTATGTAATTTCTATTTCGTAGATTGATGCAATGGCAGCACTGCATGAAGATTGTTTGGAAGAGCTGGACATGGATGATGAATCAAATGAAATCGTAAGTTAAAAATAAAAAATAAACACAAATTTTCTTTTTATTTCTACTTAATTATTTGCAATTTTTATACTTTTAGGATGCGGACGAAGAAGAGGTAGCGAATTGTGTTNAAGCTTTTATATAACTTGTTTTCTCCACCTGGAAACTCAGTAAACATAATTATTTTTAGTATTTAATCATGAGTATGTGTGTAAATGCATTGTTATGACGTATGTGGCGGCCTTTGGCTATACTAACCATCCCTCATCCTAATCTCGAATAAACTAATTATTAGAAATAATTTTAACTTTTCAAAATGAAATCTACTCTTGTTTCAAAACTTAAAGTAATTTTTAATTTTTTGATTTTAGTAAATTTTAACAATTTCCCTTCTTTTAAGGGTTAAAAACAAAAAGGAAACAGTTTTTATAACGTTTCCTTTATTGTAAAATAGATAAGTTAATTGCTTTTCCTGTGATTAATTGCTAAAGAAAATATAAATAACCGAGAATTACGTATCAAATTATTTTAAAAGTAAATTCTTTCTTTGCAAGAAGTGCAAAATGAAGTTGTGCATTTTACTTGTTTTAGGAGTGATTGTATGCAATTTATGTGCCATCAATGGCTTTAGAATGAAAAGACAGATAGATGACTTTTGCGGTGAGTGTGAGAAATTTCGTATTTAATTCTTAAATGTTAACAATAAAGTATCTTAATTTTAGACAGATTTTAAAAAATTTCATAGTTTTAGATATATAAAAGTATATTACAATCGCACTTCTATTTAATTTATACTGTTTTTCAGGTTTGCCTGTAAAACTTCGAAGTACTATATGGAATTGTATCGAGTCGCAACTTTCCTTTAAGGATAGGCAAACGGTTAGTTATTTTAATATAATTAAATAAAATATTTTTAAGATGTATAAATATTAATATTCAAATATGATTTGTCAGTATTCAGGTATTGCCCTGTGTTTTAATGAAGCTAACTTTGTTGACGTCATGAATAGAATGTGTGGCAAAACAGAAGATGAGGTAATATATTTTCATTGGTTTTAGTATAATTAAAAACATAAATGAATATATTTACATAACAATTACTGAAATATAATTTATGTAATTTCTATTTCGTAGATTGATGCAATGGTAGAACTGCATGAAGATTGTTTGGAAGAGCTGGACATGGATGATGAATCAAATGAAATCGTAAGTTAAAAATAAAAAATAAACACAAATTTTCTTTTTATTTCTACTTAATTATTTGCAATTTTTATACTTTTAGGATGCGGACGAAGAAGAGGTAGCGAATTGTGTTATAAATAATATGTGAATAAAAAACATTGACATGCACGATTCGCCGCTGTATAGTTTATCCAATGTTGAGCCATCTATTAATTTTCATTAAATGTGCATAATTAATCCTTGTAAACTTTAATAATTTGTTTTTAAATTTAATAATATTTGCTTGTAATAAATTAGAAAATTTTAAATAAACAGTTTTGCATTACGAATTAGACTTTTTCATTTCGATGTGAAAAATAATTTTAAATAAAAAATATCGTAAATTCTCACATATAAAACTGTGAAAAAATTATTTAGAATATATATATATATATATTCTAAATAATTTTTTCACAGTTTTATATGTGAGAATTTACGATATTTTTTATTTAAAATTATTTTTCACATCGAAATGAAAAAGTCTAATTCGTAATGCAAAACTGTTTATTTAAAATTTTCTAATTTATTACAAGCAAATATTATTAAATTTAAAAACAAATTATTAAAGTTTACAAGGATTAATTATGCACATTTAATGAAAATTAATAGATGGCTCAACATTGGATAAACTATACAGCGGCGAATCGTGCATGTCAATGTTTTTTATTCACATATTATTCATAACACAATTCGCTACCTCTTCTTCGTCCGCATCCTAAAAGTATAAAAATTGCAAATAATTAAGTAGAAATAAAAAGAAAATTTGTGTTTATTTTTTATTTTTAACTTACGATTTCATTTGATTCATCATCCATGTCCAGCTCTTCCAAACAATCTTCATGCAGTGCTGCCATTGCATCAATCTACGAAATAGAAATTACATAAATTATATTTCAGTAATTGTTATGTAAATATATTCATTTATGTTTTTAATTATACTAAAACCAATGAAAATATATTACCTCATCTTCTGTTTTGCCACACATTCTATTCATGACGTCAACAAAGTTAGCTTCATTAAAACACAGGGCAATACCTGAATACTGACAAATCATATTTGAATATTAATATTTATACATCTTAAAAATATTTTATTTAATTATATTAAAATAACTAACCGTTTGCCTATCCTTAAAGGAAAGTTGCGACTCGATACAATTCCATATAGTACTTCGAAGTTTTACAGGCAAACCTGAAAAACAGTATAAATTAAATAGAAGTGCGATTGTAATATACTTTTATATATCTAAAACTATGAAATTTTTTAAAATCTGTCTAAAATTAAGATACTTTATTGTTAACATTTAAGAATTAAATACGAAATTTCTCACACTCACCGCAAAAGTCATCTATCTGTCTTTTCATTCTAAAGCCATTGATGGCACATAAATTGCATACAATCACTCCTAAAACAAGTAAAATGCACAACTTCATTTTGCACTTCTTGCAAAGAAAGAATTTACTTTTAAAATAATTTGATACGTAATTCTCGGTTATTTATATTTTCTTTAGCAATTAATCACAGGAAAAGCAATTAACTTATCTATTTTACAATAAAGGAAACGTTATAAAAACTGTTTCCTTTTTGTTTTTAACCCTTAAAAGAAGGGAAATTGTTAAAATTTACTAAAATCAAAAAATTAAAAATTACTTTAAGTTTTGAAACAAGAGTAGATTTCATTTTGAAAAGTTAAAATTATTTCTAATAATTAGTTTATTCGAGATTAGGATGAGGGATGGTTAGTATAGCCAAAGGCCGCCACATACGTCATAACAATGCATTTACACACATACTCATGATTAAATACTAAAAATAATTATGTTTACTGAGTTTCCAGGTGGAGAAAACAAGTTATATAAAAGCTTTTACAATCAAGTCAGTAAATATTCAACGAATGATTTATTAATTTTTATTTTTATAAGAATATTTTTTTTTTAAATTATACGAAATTAAAAAAATGCATAAAAATATTTAAGTCGAAACTATGTAACAATTATTATTAAACAAACTATTAAATTTTCAAATAAATCGAAAATAATATTGAATATTGTTTGCTTTATATATTTGGTTCAGATGTAGTTCGTATATTTATTATATTATAAATAAAACAATTTTATTTTATTTTTTGAAAATTTAAATCGTCATTTTTAAATACTCTGATCAAATATAATTCTAATTTTTTTTTTATCAATTACATAGGATTGCTCAAAAGTCTGTTAACCGATATATTTTTTAAGATTAGTTTTAAGAATTATTTAATAACATGCAGATGTTTCAAAACGGATTTTATCGTTCTTAAAAAAATATCTTAAAATATAACTCGACTTTCGAACAACCTATTATACCTTGTCTAATAAGATTAAACACAATCATTTACTTATTTTTATGACATTTATTTTGTAATAGTGTTGAAAAATTAATAAAATTAAACATTTTGTGAGTTTTATTTTTAAAAATATTGATTTGTGATGTAAATTAATTTAATTTAAATATAATTGCTTATTCAATTGCTTTATTACATGTTAGTAGATCTATATCTTTAATCTTAAATAGAAAGATTGTCCGCTTATTTAATCACTGGAAGTCGGTCTAGGAAAGAGTGTTTTAATTTACTCGTCTATTTTGTCTGAGAATAATTTTTATTTTTAGAAATATATTTTTAGTATTCTTACCGATCCCATTGTTTTATATTTTTTCAACAATTATAGAAAGATTTAGTTAAAATTAAAATAGAAATACTGTAATAAATTTATATAAAGCAGTCAAAAAGTCCGTTTACCGAGATATATTTAAAGGTTTTGTCAGTATGATCGACGATTCTACGCCGGTTTAAACCGTTTTTAAAATATATTTGGGTTAACTAACTTTTGAATTAATCTTTATTTTTACCAATATTTATTTATTAAAATCTAATGAATTTCAGTTATGATGGAAGGTTATATATATTACCAATTTATCAATAGAATTAAATATCCTAATTGACAACATATCTTATGAGATAAAAATTTTGAATATGCGGAAATCACTTTAAACATTAGTAGAAAGTTTTAATCGTAGGAAGTAGATTAATTTCATTTCCTAAATGATTAAAAATACATCCACGTGTACAGTATACATCGTAAGAATTCAACTTTAATGAAAAGGAAATATTATAAAATAAAAGCGATATTTGTTTTAAAATATTCTAAAATATTTCAAAGAATATACGGCGATTAATATATTTAGAGTACTTTTTGAGAACTTTAGTATTCGTTTTTTTGCAAGATTTATGCACAAGTTAGAATCAGACAGAACGTTCGTTAAACGATTATTGCACGAATAAAATATTTACATCAATTCAATATTGTTTATTTTTTCTATAAGAAAATTTTATAAGTCATATAGTTTATTTGTTTGTGAATTTTATTAACATAAATCTGACTTTTAAATATGAGGTACTGTACCTGTATATTTCTTTTACTTTAAATTTTCAAAATTTATAATCTTATAAAACATATTAGCAGATTTTCTAAAATTTTATAGAACTAGTGTAACAAACAGGTATTGTAAACATGCAACAAATTATTATATTTGATGTACACTCTCTCAGGTGGAAGTCTATTCAAAAGTGATATATTTAGAAGTTAGTATGTGACCTCTCCATTTATATTTTTGTACAGTTACTCCTTTGACTAATTCGTTTTAGTTATCATTTCATGTACATTCAATTGATTCGTTTAATTGAATAAATAGTTTTTTATATTCTAACTCGTCTAGGTGCCTAACTCCATCGTTGTTCCTGCGTATATTGTCGATCCCGCGTGTAAGGTAGAAGTATAACCCTCCTATATTTAAGTTTAACTACAAATCACGAGTTGGGACAAATAACAACTATCATAACTGATGTCACCGTGACGTATCGGACAGAGAGATTTGGCTGATCTTTCTTGTCTACTATAATTAAACCATCCTGAACATAAAGCTGTTTTTCACATTAGGTGTCTGGAGTGTGAATCTATATCCTAACAAGGCGTCGATCACACAATTGGTGTCGACGGAGTGAAGTCAACAAAGCACTTCAATTTTTTCAACTGCTTTCACGGAAAAAAGTTAAGTTGGAGTAACTTGACTTCCGGTTTGAATCGGATGTTCTCATATAGTCAAAGGATCCGGCCTATAAGGTTTTCACATCTAATCTCGTCTTTCATTTATCTAACTCCGTTTTCGAGTTTAAGAAAAGACAAACGGACAGACTAACAAACAGACGACAATGGAAATTTATAGGTCTACAGTTTTTTCAAACTGTAGCCAAAATATTTGTATTTACAAAGATTTTTTAGATGGCGTCTTATACTACGAACAAGAAAAAAGAAAACACTGACAAGAGCCCCAAGAGACAAGAACCAATCTGTTATAAAAAAAAGATTTTCTCCAAAAACATTCCCCGAAGAAAAATATGTCGAGTCAACACTGTACACGGGGCCACTTAATTCAAATTTGTGTGGACCCCATGAAGCTATAATGTTAAAGTTATAGTTTTATGGTATGCATTACAACATCGTTTATAATGTATTTTGTGGTATAGAATGCGAATGTGACTGTAAATTACATGAACATATTAAAATAACGCAAATTGTATTGTTTGTGAAACCTCGTAACGACAAAAATATATTATATTGTTTAACAAATAGCGCAGTCATTGAAAATAATCTGTGCCGATTTTAAAGTTATTGCATTACTTAGATTATTCTTGTAATTATTCAAAGTAAATTTATCAAATTAAACAAATATTGTAAATTATTCAAAAGGTGTTTACGAAAAATTGCTGTATTTTGCGTATTCACCAGAAAATGTAAATGTATAGTTTTTAGTTATATCGCACTATCTGATATTCATTTGATGTGTTTTCCGGCATGCGCGATATAACAAAGAGCTACTGTATTACGAGTAATATGAAAAATTAATTTAAAAATTTCGTGATTTATATTATTTTTACTAATTAAATATTACGATGAGTCTCTACTTCACTGGTAGAGATGCAAGTTATTTCTCAAATAGCGACAAAGGATAAGAATGTTTTTTTTGCACTTAAAAAAGCACGAAAAATTTATCTCTTTCACATCGACGATA